TAATTCTTTTCAAAAGCAAGTAAATTACTGTTATTATTTTATTTTGCTTTTTCATAAAATATATTTGATGAATAAAGACAAAATATATCTATTAAGGGTTCATTCTGGTTTATACGCTAAAAAAAAGGCTATWTTCACGATTTTTTTTTAGGCTTTGTAGGAWACATATACATATGAAAGTTGTTGGGTATGATAAATACACTCTAGAAGTACAAGAAAACAATTTTTTTTTATTGTTCAGAACATTTTTTGACATCCAAAATGGCTAACAAACGTGAACCCTTCAAAAAAAGGTATGCTGTTGGCGGGCATCGAAATTTAAAAACGGGTGATCTAAAACAAAAAAATAAGACGGTTTTAAATTTAGTATGACAATGGCTATCGGGTATGTCAAAACTATCAATTTTTATAAAAGCAAAACAAAATGACAGCCATTTTTCGAAAAAAAATCGTTGATTTTTTTCGCAGTTTTTTGTAAAAAAAAAAAATAGTAAAAATTAATATTTTGACTTGGTTGTAGCATGCGAGATAGCYATTTATGTTTAGAGTATGTGGTTAAAATTTCAGAAGAATCGGTTGAGTAGTTTCGGAGATATCATGCCCGCCAACCGAAAAAAACGTTGTTTCGAGAAAAACGCGCTTAAAGTTTCTTTTAACAAATTTTTAAAAAGTCTTACTTTACCTTATTCTGCGATGCCTGCACCATACAGTATGCCTTCTGTTTCTTCAAAATACTCATTTTCTTCAACTCTAACTTTTTTTTCGTACTGTCCTKGCTTCTTTTAAAGATTCTCCGCTCAAACGATTGGCTGAACGCACACGCGTGTTGTCGCGGTTACTAGCGTAATTGACTGCGATAGGGCCAAGTTTTATCTCCAARACGTGCATTATTTTTAGTATTGGATCAAAACCTTCGTTAAATATACAAGCTGCCAATTGACAAGCTATTTCCACAATTTTTTTACAATTAAATAGATGTTTAGGCNACTCGTTAATTTTTTAATTTTATACGCTGTTCGTTGTAACTTCTAACACACAAAAACATTAATGAAGTATCACATAGAAGGGACAAACAAAGGTGAATTTACATACGCTAAAGTTGTGACATCTAGCGCCCAGAGGCGAAACTACATGTAATCTTGAGAACGAGCATGAAGTATAATTTATATTATTCATCATAGTATCCCAGGTAACTGGTCTTTGAACGAAGGAAACAGAATTATAAGCTAAAATCTCATCGTAAACAGGKAAGTATTTGTTTTCTCTGCTGGAAAGATTAACACTCTGTGATATGGATCTACAAAAAAAGTTCTAACTTATTTAATGTAAATGATATTTTAAGAGATTTACTAAAAGTTTATTTTAGTAGTAAACTAAAAAAGGAGATAMAAATTACCRTTTKTGTGCAACATCCCATGCTGCAGCAATAATGTTGTTGACAACGTAATCAGCAGGAATTATATCGCAAATTAGGTCTTTATCACAATACACTGTTCGTAAAACACCAGTCGCGCTACCAACAACACCACCTGTAATTCCATACAAATTGTTTATCCAGCCAGCTATTGGTTCCTTTTCTGTTGCGACAACAATAGATGGCCGAACAATGCCAGTGGGAATTCCATTAGAATATTGCCGTACTGTATCTTCACAGATTGCATTTGAAARTGCGTAGGTGTTAGGCCACTTACCCAGTAGCCTGTAAAACAAACGAATATGCTTATAGACTTATCTTTAAAAAAATGCAATAGGTTTCATGTTCTATAACATTGAGGTGATTAAATCTAATTGGTCTTCSGTCAAAATCTCTGTCAATCTAATTATGTCTTTTGTCTTCATAGGTTGCTTATAMAWTTKTWYTTCGATTTTATTGTAAACACAGTGCGAGTAAGCTGTTGAAACATAAATAAAAGCCTAAAGAACAAAATTATTATAAAGTWAGAACAATTTATTTTKAAAATTAAACTAAATTTTATATATAAATAAATTGATCTAGTCGGGAATTGTGCTTAAACAAACGCATTTTTATACGGATGATTTAACTAGGAGAAAAATACCTTTAAGCTTGTCATCTCTTGTGCAAGCAAGAGAAGATCCCTTGTTCCTCTATTATTTGTATTAACTATAAGACGAATATTGTCCAGAAAACGTACGGATGCTGCACTATGAAATATTACATCGGTATCTTTAATGCGATCGCGGTGCTTCTCTGACAATCCTAAATTTAATAGACTCGTGTCTCCTTCAATCAAAATAATTTTCCTTTTAACATCTTTTTGCTCTCTCTTCAATCTATCAAAAATCTAAAGATTTAAATATAAATTGTAATACTGCTGACATCGTTTATTCCGATAATAATAAGTACAAAATGTGTAACTTTACTCACAACATCATTGAAATATTCTTTAAATCGAGTCTGCGGATCCTTCTGTTTCTTTGCCCTTACCAGYAAATAAATCGTTGTTATTTCTGGACARCATCTGCAAACCGCAGCAATTGCATTTATAGTAAAAGTTTTTAGCGGAAAATTATTTCTTATAAAATAAATCATTATTGTGTCAAATTTAAAATATAGAAGTAAAGAGAGAAGTAGAAAAAGAGAAAAATAAAGAATAATCATTGTTATCTTTAAATACAGGTACTATTAGATAGATATTGTCTGCTGAATTAAATATATTTTRTAGCAATTAAATCTGTAAAAAAAATAGTTATCTTTTTGCATGACMAAAACTCTATGCTATTTTCCTTATTTAGAAAGCTTASATTGCTTYGAAAGWTAAWATTARTTAATAGACTTCCAACTTAAACAATATTTWTTGTTATTTATTTCACACAATATGAATCTCAAGGAGATTAAAACTACTAACAAAAACTATCCGATTGTACATACAATCCTAATTTATTTAAAATTTATGATTGGAAGCTTATAACAAATGTACGAATTGAATGGAGMACAAAAACATAGGAGAWGAATATTTACCTTAAAAGTTTTTCCATTATAAGCCTTMMTATAAATCCTAAGCTTCCTGTTATAAAAATTTTTTTTCCAGAAAAAAATGTAGCAATTTCTCCCCGCTTATTATAATAATTCGGCTCTTCTACCATTGATAATATTTCTTCTTGATACGTTTGTCCGCTTAATAATGCCATTTTTTGAATTCTTTTATAATAAAAACAAAATATTACATACAAATAAAGTAAGAAAAATTTCACTTTATAGTATTTATCGATAACAGACAGATCTTGAAGATAAGTAATTATTTATAAGTGATTGAAATAGATGCTTTTATTTCT